GCATTTCTCTATCTACATGTTTTCTATATGAGCATTTGTATTTGGTAATTTTCTCATCAGAGAAAAGATCTTGGATTTCATGTATATTCATATATTCTTCTTCCTAACCCTAATGCTGAGGCCATCACCTCTCTCATTTTAAATATCATTGAGCAGAAGATGGAAATCTCACCAAAAAGTATTCATTTGCTGACCCCTCTGAATCTGGGCAGAGGAGATAGTGCTTGATGGATTGTATGGAGTAGGAAAAAATAACAGTGTTTGCCTCTTGCAAACTGATATAGCAAAGGGAGCATAAATTAAGAAGGAGTAAGGCAGCAAAAGAGAAAGTGGTAACTGACTTTAGAAAATTACTTCAGAAAGGGGAAAAGTACATAGACTGCCTATACTCTGCACTATGAAGGACACAGCTGGAGTAAGCAGCAATAGAAGACTTCAAGAAAATTTCAGGTTATGGAAGTAAGTTTTATGGAAAGGCAAACACAAGCAGAAATGGGAGACAAATCTTGACAAGTTTTTAACTTGAGAGAGCAGTAAAAGCAGAGCAACCTCCTCTGTTAAATGAGTCACAGGTCAGTATTGCAAGTATTGAAAACTTTTAGAAAACTTGAAAGAAAAGGTAATTTTAAAAAAAAGACTTTTATTTTGCAAAGTCAAAAGAATGCAAACAGTGATACTGAAATAACTGCATGACCTCAGACAAATCAGGTCTTTTTCCTGAGTGTTTTCAAACTTAACTATGAGTATGTAGCCAGCTCTTAGGCAGTATCACTAATGTCTGTGATCCCTAAAAACGGAAATAAATTTAAACATTCCATGCAGAACAACACATCAAAATACGTTAGAAAATCCACAATTTATTTGAAACCTTTTGGTTGATAAAAGATATATCACTTTAACAAGTAATTATTTTAACCAAGGTTGCCCTGTTTCGGTGACTGAATTAGTCAGAAAGGCCCACAACCAAAAATCATCCATATATGATTTTATTTATTTTTCTAAAACCAGCAGTTCCACTGAATATGTCAAGCACAGGCCAGCTTTCATACTGCAAGTTCAAGCTGTTAGGGAAGCAGCAAAGGTAGAAGCTCCCCAATTCTTCCCAGGTGCAGCACATCCAGACACAGCACAGCCTTATTCAGACAAAGATGTAGGGAACTGCAGGGGCACATGCAGAGAGGTTTGGATTCTGGAGATGGCTGCAACTTGCATGTCACCTTTCAGTGAGTTATTGAGGTTTCTCTAAGGTACAGAATGCAGGAAGTGTGCAGAGCTCCCTGGGGAATGGTACAGGGTGAAGGAAAGGTTTTATGGCCATGAGGACTTAATAAATAGCACCCAACTCAGTTCTCTTACCACATGGCTTTGCCTTCTAACCACCAAGTAGGTTCAGAAAAGAATGTAGCTACAGATGGTATATGAGCCATGTATCTCACCACTAGCTCACTGCAGTTCAAAAAAAGCAGGTTATGCTGTTAGAATTTGTCAAACACGCTGTGAGAAAGCAGGAACATCATGGTATATACAGGTTCAAGAGCTTAATTTCCTCTGTCTGACACCCCTCATCAGTCTCCAGCCTGCTGTGCTTTCTGAGCACCTGTAAGTGACAGTGTATTTACTTTTACTTTGCTGCACCCAGTGGAATATGCAAAAGATTGTTGTGGTAATCTTTTATTTACACTTGTTGCACAGAGTGCAACATACCAGGCCTGCTGCAGGTGCTAAAAAATCAGCTCCACGCACTTTCTACAAAAACATTATTTCTTCATTCACCATGAACATGCACAATTTGGTCAAAACTGAAGGCAAAGAAAGAAAATACTTAAAGCAATTCAATACCATGGTGTTGTCTTAACTGAAGTTCTCACTCTTCCCTATGCAATCTTCCAAACTGGAACTACAAATTCTTCCAAGAGATGTTCCTCGACCTCACTACAGGTGTACTTCCCTTGGAAAAAAAATCTCGATTTTGTTATAGACCAGCAGGTCACAGGAGCAGTCACAAGATGGCAGCAGAGAATTAAAGATGTCTCATACCTTGCGTTTGGACTTCGTGATTTCGCCAATGTTGATTTACACTATAAACAGCGAAATATTTTAGCAGTGCCCAAAACATTTTCTCTTTGGCACTACATTTAATAAATTATAGAAGCCTAATTAAATATTTAGTTTACATTTTCTGAAAGAATTTCAGGCCTTTCTTTAAAAATCTGCTTAATTTTGGCTTTCTCCATAGTGAGTCTTTCAAAGAGAAATTGCTCTTATAAGCAGGCAAGCACACAAAATTTATATCCATGTTACAATTAGGGAATTAGTGATAATTTAACTCCTGGCAAGAACTCTTCACTAGCAACTATATCGATCTAAGTCCACATTTAAAATAAAAAATACAGTGCAGAGAAAAATGCATTTTTAAAACTCGAGAATTTACTCACAAATAACTGGACACATCAGTGAGACAGAGTAGTGAACAAAGTTCTGAGTTTAAGGTCTCTAAGACCAACAGAGAGCCAAGAAAACCCATAATTAAAAAGGATATATGCTACCACAGGTGTGTGCAGCCCCTGGAGTACACTTGCCTAATCTACATGTCTCCCATAATTTGTGCTGTCTGCTTATTTCCCCCCCCCCCCCCCCCCCCCCAGAACTTACAAGAGCCAAGCCACAGGTGGAATGATAGACTACTCAGGGCATATTTTTCTCCTACTTCAAATTTTCCCGAGGTGGCTCTGACACCTCGCAGTGGCTCTGCCAGTGGTGTGTCAGCACCACCAGCTGCACACAGCTGTGTTGTGGAGCCTCTTGGCTTGGCCATGCAGTCATTCTTTGTTAACCTAGCTGTGGCAAGTCTCTAGAATACAAAATGTAATTAATAGCTGATTGTTTCCACAGTTCACAATGCTTTGTATTATTACTAAAAGTGTTAATCACTTAATGTCAACAGAGATTGTGGGCTTGTTACCATTATTACAGGTATGCAGATTCCATAGGCTATGCCACTAATGTTTCCAAAATACCCATGTAATCCACACATACTCAGACTCAATGGAATTTCTTCATCACATACACGATCAGTCCCTGCACATTTTTCACCTTCAAAATGGCATAAGCTCACAACTGACAAATTAGGAACACATGAATGACCCAGAAGCAATCTTCCCTTTCTGACTGCTGATGCAAAGAAAGCCACCAGGATCATACGGAAGCAGAAGCCCAGGCAGAGCCTGATGCCCTGGTCCTGCCTCCAGTGTGGTCCAGGTGACAGCAGCAGTGTGAGGTAGAGACCGGTCAGCATCCACCAACCAGCGAGACAGGAATGATCTCAGTCAGCCTGAAATACTGCTGAGCCAATTTTGCCAAAGCTGCAAAAGGGGGTGAAAGCAGAATATAGCAGAAGCATGGGGTGTGCCAGAGCTAGTCCACTACTTCTCACTGATCCACAGGAGTGCAACCACAGAAAGGCAGCACTCAGTCACATGGGGCCTCTTTTGGTTTTAAGTGGTGAATTCTTTTCTGCTACTGGTATTTGCTCATTGTGTAGTCCTAAAAAGACCTATCATACTGGAATGCACAAAATCTGTGCATGCTTTGGATAAACAGATCATGCTATGGTTGTGCTTACTAAGAGGCAGTATCCTGCCTCCAGCAGCCTATCTTCAATCCCAATTGTTTTCTTCTGAGGAAAGAGCAAGAAATCCTGAAGCATACCATGCTGGAATATAAAGTGGTCATATAGGCAGGTTTTTCCTAACTCTCATCAGTTAAAATTTGATTCATGTCCAAAAAATGAAAATGAATCCTTATGACAGAACTGAATCTTTGCCAATTCAATTCTGGATATTACAGCTTCATTTCCTATTTGAATCTCTTGTGCAGCATACCTATATGCTGTTAAAAGAGCTTTTCTTTATCCCTGTTTTGATTCAATTTCAGTTGGGGAGATAGTCTGAATGTTTTTAGCAGGGTGGGGGTTTATATATATATATGTATATATGTATGTATGTATGTATGTATGTATGTATGTATGTATGTATGTATTTCTGACAGGCATGATCACACAACCTCTAAATGACAAAGTGAACCCTTGCTATCCTTTTCCTGAGTGTTTATCCAACACTGACATGAATTATCTTAGATATTACCTTTTGTTAATTTATTGTAGCTATATGACTCTATGAATAACACAAAAGTAAAATTTTGTGGGCCTATATATTTTAAATCCAAGCTTAAGTTAATTAAAAGATTTGTAAACTGGTATTATTTTCAAGAATAACTGAAAGTCATTGGCTTTGGATAATTCATGTAACTCTTCATTTGCCTGTTATATCTGCAAGTTTCATATCAATCTTGTACTCAAAAAGAAAACCTCCTGGCTTGTAAAAAACACCTGGTCCTTCCCTTTTGTTTGTTGAACAAACTAGCAAAATGTGTAGATCACAGTAACTGCTTTTTTACCTCGCACAGCTGTATTCTTCATTTCCTCGTAGTTCATTCATTTTTCATTGTTATCACTTGATTTGTATTTATTATAATCTCCTGTTCAGACAGGAAAATTTTTGGAAAAAAACTTTGTTGTGCTTTATTTGTAGGGATGATGCAGTGAATTTGTAGGACGACATACACAACTGTAGCCATCATGCAAAGAAAAACCAGATGTAAACTAAAGTTATGGTACTTCCGTTTTTATTTCCTAATTGAGAATTTCAGAGACTTCACAGATACAACACTCATTATGCACACCACACACAAACACACACACCCCACCCCATGGCAGCAGGATTGAAACTAGATGATCCTTAAGATCCCTTCCAACCCAAATTGTTCTATGATTCTGTGTTCCAGGATCAAGCACCACAGTTCTGGCAAAAGGTGGCATATGTAGTAGTATCCTCATTTTATACATAGGGGAAAAGTGCTATAATGATTCTACATCTGGAATAAAGAAATATGCTCATTCCTTATGCCTTAGTGATACACTGTTCTATTTTTCTTCTATTTTAAATGGTCATTGTGAGTCTTCCACTGCAGAGAAATCCCTTACTTAGACCCTCTGGCTGGGAAGCAGAGATGCTTTTAATTTGTATCCAAATTGATGAGATGGCTTTTTTACTAAAATATTCTACTTTTTGTTCCATGCATTTCATTTCTAGTTGGATTCAAATGTCAACAAATTGATCCTTGGCAAACTAAGCTTGCCACTACGTAATATCATTTCCTCATTGAACTAATTACTTCATCATATCATTGCTTTTAAAGTAATTGGGAACTCATACATCCATATTCTTTATGCAAATTAAAACGAATAGCTATTTTAGCAAATGGGAAAACTGCCTTGTTAGAGTATTTCCCAACCTGGAAATTCATTTCCCACAAGAGACAAAGTCCAGTTGTTAATCCACACCTAAATTTAAGTTCCAACTTTTAAACCTGGGTATCTAAAATGACACTCTACAACGCAGATCTAAAATTTTAAATACAAATGGCTCCCTTGCAAAACTGCTTGCCACCTCCAGCTGCCTCCAACCCAGCAGGACACAGTGCTCTCACGTTCCCAGCACTGAGTTATCTGCTCAGTGATCCCTGAAAGCTCATAGAAACTGGGCTTTGCTGCACAGAAAGAGCTGGCCCAGTATCAGTGTATTCCTTAACTTCCTAGAATAGACAGCTTCTAGCATAACAGTGTTTGAGCAGCCATTGCAAACAAATGGGGGGGTGTTCCTCTCTCCCAGGACACCAGTTATTTTCCAGAGTGAAACACGCAGCTCCTGGCTGTGCCTGCTGGACACTGTGGTGCTCATCATGTGCCTGATTCAGCCAGGCATTAAATGTGCTCACTCAAGTTGGGCTAGAGGTCTGAAAAGTCCATAATACCGTTCAGGCAAAATTGTAAAGTTTGGCTGCTGAAGACCTGAGCAAAGCATGTTTAAAAAATCAAGATGTGTCCTGGAGGCACTGTAGGAAAAAAAACCAAAAAACGTGATTTGACATCATGAGTAATCTGAAGTCACAGCCTCAGAAATCAAGAACATGCTCTGAGTAGAAAAGAGTAAATAAGAAGGCACAGTAGTTCTGTGAACATCATTACCTTTTTTTCTGCTAATTCTCAGGTATCTCTTTCTTAGCCGATATCAGGGAGTCCAATTTAAATGTACACTTGTGCTCTGTGGATAATCAGAAGGTATACTTTGTATATTACCATAAAGTATGCTGCTTTCAATTAGGATGATAGCTTTGCATTCATCCAAGGGGCAACATTCAGGCATTCAACTGTTCTTATTTCAATTTATAAATCTCCTGATTTCATTTCAAACAATCTCACTTAAGGAAATGGGAGAATGATGGTTATGGATTGTGAAATATAGGAGTACTGGGAGGGAACTGAATGTACCAGTTGGGAATAAAAAAGGAGGGAATGAGTCATGTAATTTCCAGTCATTCGGAAAGGGTCATCCAGACTGGGCAGGGCTACAATTATTAAAATTTATGTATCAAGCATTTTATTCCTAGGTTGAATGAATAAATGATCTTCTAGCAGACCATAATGATCGTAAATGACCTGTTAGCAATGCTGTGATAAAGGTTCTGTCAGCAATTAAATTATAGGGATTTATAATACAGAACTAAAATAGTGCACCCTGGTCACTAAAATAACTCCAGAGTGAGACTTTGGATCAAGTTATCATAACCAAGCAACTGACTAATGCCCACAAAAATATCCATATACATGGGAGTCATCTTTGAGCAAGCTGGTTGGATAATTGCATGTCTAGGCTTGTTTTCATCAACACCTCCATGGGATATTGGGTATCTGGTCAGGTGAACATGCATCTCTGTGTGCAGGTGCTCTAAATTAACATGAATATCAATGCATATTGCTGCAAGGTTTTTAGGCCAGAAAAAGCCATTAGAATGTAAAGAAACATATATTCATAAGGCTGAGATAGAAGTTAATCTAGAACTTCCCAGTAAATCCTGCTAATTCAAATGTTGTCAGTACTATAAATGTGTTTACATAAATAATTTACATGACTATTTCTTAGGCATCTGCTTGTGTTTGAGAATGTGATCTAATTTTCAAAAAGTGAATATATTTCATTTTGTTTCAATTAAATTGCTAGATTTTTTAACCTTTTCCTGAACCCGTAGGGGGAGGGGCCACTTGAATATGCTTTCTAGAGGGACCCCTTTGGAAATTTCCTCCCCAATTTGCCCTAAAGCAAGACAAATGGCTTCCCCAAGACATATGTTCTGGTATTCCAATGAGAACTCAGCAACTGACAAATAGAATCTCAAGTTTGACACTTGATGTCTCTCCATGAGTTCTGCCAACCCATAATGTGACTCAGGGGCATATAAGTTGTTGAGAATTACAGAATTTCACAACAAGAATAATTTGAAAATAGAAAGGGAAAATATGTTTTATTATTGTTATGCTAGTTGATTCAAATATAGGGCAGGAAGGGTTACTCTGCACGAATATCAAGCATTTTCAGTGTCAAGTGCCTTTCTTTACGATCTGTCAGTACTGAAAGAACAAACCCAATACATTTCACTGGATCTTGTTACTCATCAAGGTAGAGCAATTCCAGCTCCTGCAGCTCCAAATTATAATTGGACTTGTAAGGAGCTTGCCAAATTAAAATTGCCTGCTTTAAATATAAAACTTGAGCAAAAAAAGGACAGGAGATTTTGAGTTCAGTTGATGATGTGTTCTTATCTCATCATGCTACTACAGAGGGTCTTTGGCACATAAGAAATCACTCCCTTGATGCTCTCACTATGCTGCTTACAGACACAATTTGATATATTGATGGATATATTTGGTAAATGTATCAAAACTCTACACCTGCACACTAACATATAAAATATCATACAGACTGTATTGGTATTGCTGAAATTAATCTAGAGTTGAATTTGATCCAAATTCTGTTCTCACATTTGACAACTGAACTGTAAGAGTTAATAACAAAACCAAGAAATAAAGCAAAATTCTATCTAAAGGGATGATTATTGTTAAAAAAACACAGCACTGACCCCCTTCCTGAAAGAGAATGGCTGATTTTAGAACATCTTTTATGTCAAAAAAATACTTTAAATTGACCTTGATTTCAGTATTTTGTTGTCATAGATATGTAAATAAACATTGTGTGTCCATATATGTGGAAAACAATATGTGTGTTCATAAAGAGCAGTTCTGTAGAAAGTTTCTCACCCTCTTTATATGGATTAACTGGATTAAGTGGATTAAGTGTACCTATTCTAGCATTGTTTAAATAACAAATAACAATTAAACAATAAAACATTTATTCTTTCAAACTTCAAATATTTCAAAGCCAGTCACAACCTCATGAACACTGCATGAGTACAGTGAAGGTCATGACTTTATTTTTACTTACAATGACTGAAGATTTAGTCTCAAGGTCATTAGCTCTATATTCATAAGCAATACATTTCGTTTACTGTGTGTGCTATAGCTCATGGTTTTCACATGCAGTATAATTACAAAATGAACCATGATTTTCAGAAAAAGAAATCTAAGCTTAGTGTCCCAAACCTCTTAGTTGATTCAGTTAGTCCTACAGGAGGCACAATGTTTTTGAAGAACACACAGGCCTTGATGGGCTGCATCAATGAGTGCTGAGAGAACTGGCAGACACTACAGTGAGGTCTCTCATGATGATCTTTGAAAGGTCATGGAGATCAGGAGAGGTGGTTGAGGACTGCAAGAAAGCAAATGTCACCCTGGTCTTTAAAAAGGAAAAGGAGGACCCAAGGAACTACTGTCCAGTTAGCATGACCTCCATCCCTGGAAAGGTAATGGAGTGTCTCATTCTGGAGGCCACATCTCTTCACATGGATGACGGGAAGGTGATCAGGAATAGTCAGCATGGATTCACTGTTTAACCAACCCACTTTCTCTCTGTGATGAAACAATTACCTGGAGGAATGAGGGGAGAGCAGTGGATATTGTCTACTCTGACTTCAGCAAGGCTTTCAACCTCCCACAACCTCCTGACAGGGTCAGGAATTGTGGTCTGGATGAGTGGACAGTGAGGTGACTTGAGAACTGGCTGAACAGAAGATCCCAGAGGTTTGTAGTCAGGGGCACACAGGGTCAAGTTGGAGGCCTGCCACTGGTGGTGTCCCTCAATGTTCAATATTGGGCTAACTTCTTCATCAGTGGCTTGGATGATGGTCAAGACAAGTTCAGTGACAACACAAAGCTGGGAAGAGCTTTGGGCTGGTCCCCCTGAGTGCTGTGCAGCCCTTCAGAAGGACCTGGGCATGTTGGAGAGACGGGCAGAAAGGAACCATCTGGAATTAAAGAAAGGCAAATTCAGGGTCCTTAATCTTGGAAAGAATAAACCTGGGCACCTGCACAGGCTGGGGGCTGACCTGCTGGAAAGATCAGCTCTGTGGAAAAATATCTGGGGGTCCTGCTGGACAACAAGTTGCCCATAAGCCAGCTGTGTGCCTTTGGGCCAAGAGGGCCAATGGTACCCTGGGGTGCATTATGGAGAACATTGCCAGCAGGTTGAGGAATGGGATCCTGCCTCTCTACTCAGCCCTGCTGAGGCCACATCTGCAGTGCTGTGTCCAGTTCTGGGCTCCTCAGTACAGGAGAGACATGGAGCTCCTGGAGCAGGTCCAGCAGTGGGCAATGAAGGTGATGAAGGGACATGAGCTGCTGTCTTATGAGGAAAGGCTGAGGGAGCTGGGCCTGTTCGGCCTTGGGAAGAGAAAACTGAGAGGGGACCTCATCAGTGTCTGTCAGTGTCTGAAGGGAGGGTGGCAGGAGGATGAAGCCAGGCTCTGCTCAGTGCTGCCAAGCAATAGGACAAGAGCTAATGGGCAGAAACAGATGCCCAGATAGTTACAGCTGAACATGAGGAAAAACTTTTTTACTGTGCAGGTGACTGCATGGAACAGGTCGCCCAGAGAGGTTGTGGAGTCTCCCACACTGAAAATATTTAAGAAGTGTCTGGATGCAGCTCTGTGCCATGTGCTCTGGGATGGTGCTGCTTGAGCAGGGAGGTTGGATCAGATGATCTACTGGGGTCCCTCCCAATATTACCCCTTCTGCGATTCTGTGGTTTTTACTGCCTAAAGACCAAAGACACTCTTATGCTCAAATCTAACACATTTGTATTCTCTTCTGAGTAGAGATGTTTCTCAGAAGCAAGAGACTTAAGATCTGAGATCTCACAACCTAATTTTAGGCACAAAGCTTATATATATGTATATCTATACATATCTACATTTCTATACCTATATATCTTCTTGCATTATGATAATATAAATGTTCTTGCTGAATAGAAATCTTCAACTTATTAAAATCAATAGGACCATTTAAAGCAAACCTGATTGCTAATGATTCTTATAACAAAGATTTCCATCTCCACTTGGATTTGGCATGACTGAAAACTCATATTGTAAATTCAGTCATAAAACTTTGAACTCTAAATTTTGGATTTCACCTCTGCTCCCTGGACCTGAAAATATAAAGAAACAGTAGACTGAAACTTATACATTAGCATTTTTAGAGGTAACTTATTTTCTGACACCTAAACGAAACACCAACCAATTTTTTTAGGATACTAGAAGTTTCATTCTTAGGTACAGAAAATACATGTTTAGGTGCTGAGACCCTATTTGCCAGGTGCTCTTCTCTTCTCAATTCTCAACTTTTGGAGCTCTTTATAACCATGTTTCCATCTGCATTTTCTCCATCTATTTCCTCCCACCTAGTCCTCTCACTCTTCATGTCTGGCTTAGCTTTCCTGAGGAAGCAGCTGGGGATGGAGTCAAAGGCATCTGCACTTATATTTTATAACACTTAAAACTATCTTGTCTTGTATAGAGCCATCTTTGAATGTTATGCAGCTACAGGCACATAATGTAAGAAAAAGAGAAAAGAAGAAATTTCAAAACCTTTTTTCCAGCATCTCAGAGTGAAGGTTGTGATAAAAGTAACTTGGAATTGAAGAGACTTAGGAATCATGGTATTACTCTACTCCTGAACTTTGCTTTACTTTGAACTTCATGGGGAAATGCCCCATCAGAGTTCAGTGATGCTGATGCTGAAAAGACACTTTGTTGCTTTTGTTACATAAAAAGCTGTCAGAGCTTCAGATGTTTGCACTCAAACAGAGGCAGCAGTTTAAGCATCAGTTGTTGCATTTTAAGATATAAAACCTGAAGCAATCTTGGCACTGAGAAATGGAGATCAGGTCATGGGCAGGAAAACACTGTCACTGATGGTCACAAAGAAACGTATTGCCTTGATAATAAAATAATGAAATTTGAAAGAGAAAGAAATATAAAAATATAACACTGGGAAACTCTTAGAAATCTTTAAAATAAAGTAATAGTATCCATTTTATTTTTAAGATAATGAGCATGCATTTAAAAACCTGTAATACTGAACTAAATTTCTGCAACTCTTCCCTTCAGTCCTGCTTGAACAATGGTCCCAGGATAAAATGCCAAATAAAAGCATCTCAGAAGAACTATTTCTCCAAAAATTTCAAAGATGGAAGGCGTGGACAATCATGATGACACTGAAAAGCACCTTTGATGTTTAACTGTGCAGTAGCTCCTGTGCTATATAATGAGGTATCCAAAGCAAACAAACAATGGAAATGTACCAGTGAGAAGTCAAACTTGACTTTCAGGTACTGTAGTATTGCATAACATGATTTGTACTTTCATTATTCAAGGACATGCTGATGTTGAGTAATGCCTTTAGCTTACCTAGGAGTCAACCTAATCTTTAGCTTACAATCTACAGCAAAAAATAGGGTAAACCTTAGCATTGTAATTTTCTATTGAGATTTTTTTTAAAGTGAAACAGCATATGAAAATTGCTAATACTGATTATTTTTCATATGTGAGGATTATCCCATGCAAAATTAATGTGCTGCTTAGATGTTGAACACAAAATAGAGGAAAAAGTCTTTACGGGATTTTTCCCCTGTGGGCGTAAACAGATATTTTTAACTTTGTCTACCAAACACAACCAACTGAGACAGAATTAGATTATATTTCCAACCAATACTTTTGTACCTTGCAAATATATGACAGCTGCAGCTCTGAAAGATTTAGAACTAAGTTTGTTAATATCAGTTGTTGCTAAGAGATGCATTGCCTTTAGTGGAAGAATGAATATGCACTCACATAATAAATGGATCAATGAACTAAAAGTCACAAACTCAACACAAAATAAATTGTTTATATTACAAAAGGGGCTAAAAATATTTTATTGTGGAAATAAATCGGCATTATCGTGCTTAGAATTCATCATTAATTTTGTTAACTTGTCTCCTCACAGAAAGTGTACACACCAATGACACTTAAAAATGAAAAATTTTTGATAACCACATTCAAGATCACAATACAAGATAATTCTTGCAGGAGACTCAAGAAACTAAATAATTAAACCAGACATTTTTAGTATCTAGTCTGTTTTGAATGATATTGCAAAGTTTAAAGAAGTTTGAGCCCCACTAGCAAAGAGCTTACAATGGAAAAAACCCAGAAATTTTTACATAGTTATGAGTATTGCAGTTACATGTAACTGTTTCATATTGCATTGTTATTATCATCATTTTGACACCTGCCTCTTCTTTATTGTTACACAATGTATAACTTTTTCACTTAACTCTGCTTGGGGCAGTACACTGAGTTTCTCAAGACTTCTTTCACATTTCTTAACCTATGTCCACAATTTACTTCTCACATGAAATATAATTTTGCTGAGAGATCTTTTTTCCATGTTTCTATTACTACCTAAAAAGAAGATCTTAGTTTGCTTCTTTTTAACACACATCACTGATATATCATCTCTCTTAAGAGGGCTGTCTGAGTTGGTGGGAGTGAATGATGTAGATGACAAGGTCTGAAAAGACAACAAAGTTCTGCCAGCAAAAAGCATTAACAAAAAAATTATTATGCATTTCTCAAGTCTTCTTCTTTGTGACCTTCTGTTGTGGCTTGTGGGGGGAAAAATCCACTACAAAAAAGGAGTTTTAAACCATGGGAAATGTTCTTCAGAGTAGAACTCTCCTTACTAGAAGAGAGAGTAGTTTCAGCAATGACTCATGGACTAAAGCACAGCTAAGCTGGATACACTGTTGAAGTTTTAATACTTAACAGTGCCAGAAAAAAACATTTCTGATATAAAATCAGTAAAAATCCCTCTATGATAATTATGTATAAGATACTTTCGGAGTAGTTTAAACATTGGTCTATTATATGTATGGAAAATTTAAGGCAAAAAGTAAAGTAGCTTTTGCAAAGAAAACCCCAAAGATCAAAAGAGCTGGCATTCCTAATAAAATTTAAGTAGCTCTTACTTCTCAGTCTATTCACCATCCTAGTGGTTTTTGCTGTTCTAGGAACGAAACTGGGCTTTTCTCCTGGGAGATAGTCATTGTTTTGAAACAATCCTCCCTCTCTTCCCCACCTCCTAATTATCTCTTGGGGAAGAAGGTGGAACTGCAGCTGTAGGAACATTGACAGGGTTGTGTCTTGATCTAAGAAAATAATTTCAGGAAAAAGATCCGTGAACAGTGCTGCAGAGTCTCTCCATAGCATGTCTCAAAGCAGATAAGCTATGGAAGGCAAAAAAAAAAATCAGCTTTTCCTGCCCAAATAGCAGATGGTTCCAGATAACTCCCAACAGCAGATACCATAATGAACCACTACTTCCTATATGAACACTACTAACGTTTCTCACCAGGCAAATTATCTCCTCTGTCTTGGCTAGTTCAAGGCCTCAAATATCTAAACATTGGATTTTGCTGCAGTTGGGTTGACCTTCCAGAAGTGGCCACTGTGCCAAAATATCACATGTAATATTTGGAATATATATATTAGCACATGAAAAAGAACATACTAATAATCCAGCAAATGATGTTTATAAACTGTATATAAATACAGAAAAAAAAAAATAAAAATGCAGAAGGACTCCATGGGTAGAAACTCAGGATATCTGCTCAAAGTGCTTTTGAAGTGTCAAAAGTAGAGCGAATTCTTAGCTAAACCATATTGCAGTCATAATATTATCGTGCCTTCAGCTGAATTACCTCAAGCAGAAAACTGAAGATTTTTTAAATTAAGCAAGGTTGTCTTGGGTCAACCCCTGGAGACAAAAATGTATGTGCTGTCACAACTGGTGCCAGCAACTCATTAGACAGCTTCTCAGTGGGCTTGAACAAGATATTAGATGATGCTTGATGTTGCAAGCAACTTCTTTTTGGTAAGACTGACAATGAGGTTATGACAATTTGTTGTCCTTAAATATCATACAATGCTTCTTATGGTTGGATAAAACTTTTATACAGTTGGAAGGAGAGAAGCAGAACGTCTCTCAGGACATCATGTAACTTTGCATAGACTGCACCAGCCTTTCAGCTGAGAAAATTTTTCAGTTCTTTTTGGAGCTTTTGTTCCTATTTTTCCAATTGCTTTTTTCATCTAAAGAGGAAAAGATGAAACTCCAGACTGATAATGTGTAGTATAGTAGCTATTACTGTTAACTCCTTCTATGATACTCTTATTATACAGTATCACTGTCTGCAAAAAGCACTCCACTGTCTGAAAACATAAGATTTGGATTTTGATACAAAAATTGGATTGAATACAAAATTGGATTGGATACAAAATTTGGATTGAAAATACAAGATTTGGCTTGAAATACCAGATTTGGAGCATTTAGAACTACTAATGGCAATGGAAATGGGCACATCCAGTCTATCCAAAGCCTGAAATGCTCTTTGAGACAACTGTACAATTAACTTATAGATGAAGACTACTACAGCCTTCCAAAGAAAGAATACAGCATTCTTTGTTTTCCCAGGGTGAGTGGCTAAATATTAAGCCGACTGAATCTGGCCTGCGAATGCATGATAAGAACAAAAGAACTGAATGTGAAGGAGATCTTGTACTTGAAATTCAGGCCAGGTATTTTGTCCTCGTGCCCATGTGAATTCTCCCGCAAACAAGTGTTTCACTGTTACCTTGAGCTGCCTACTTCTTATACTCACGTTTGTGTATAAATTACAAGCGGTCTGTGGCAGGAACAATTATTTTTCATTAGTATGGTCTCTAGCAAGCCTTATCACCGACACCGCCAGGAACGAATGGCATTTCCAGCACTTGAGGCACGCGATGTCAGGCGCTGTTTCCCGGGCTGGCGGGGCTGGCTGAGCCCTGCGGGTCCCTCCAGCCCTGCGGCGCGGCGCGCTCGGTGCGAGCCGGGCGGGGCGGCCGCGGCTCCCGGGGGGCAGCGCAGGGCGGTGACCTCCAGCGCCCGGCCCGGCCAACTCCTGCCCTCCGGTTCACTGAAACCCTGTTGGCTTTCAAGTTAATAATTCACTCACTTTCCATTTTTGAACAAGGCCTTTATTTGCGTGGTTCAAGGTTTAATCACCTTGTTAGCAACCGCTTTGAGCTGCTGTCCCCACGGCCCGTGGGGAGGGGAGAGGGAAGTGAAACCGTGACCGTCACACGCGTTTTGCGAAAAGCAGCGGAGGCCTCGCTGGTTCTGTGCCCCGACGCGAACCCGGTGCTGGTTCTGTGTCCCTACGCGAACCCGGCGCCACCCGCCACAGGACCCTCAGGGCCAGGGCAGCCCCGGGGCGGGGCAGGGGCCGCGCGGGGTGCGGGGTGCGGGGTGCGGGGTGCGGGCCCGGGCCCGGCCCCTGAGGGGTTAACGGCGGCAAGATGGCGGCGCGCCGGCCCGCCCCTCTCCGCCCCCCGCGCGCGGGGCAGCGGCGCGCGGCCGGGCCCGCGGCTGTCGCGCGGTGATGAGTCAGCGGCAGGCGCGCGGCGCGGGGGCGGCGGGCGCGCAGCGGGCGGCGAACATGGCCGGCGTTGCCGACGCCGCCGCCGCCGCGCCGGGCAGCGGCGGGGAAGGGCGGCAGGACGGCGGCCGCGGGGAGCCGAAAACTCTCTGGGGGAGCAGCGAGCCGCGGCCGCCGCCCGCCGCCGGCCCGGGGCAGCCGTCCCCGCAGCAGCGAACGGAGACGTTGGGCTTCTACGAGAGCGACCGGGGCAGGAGGAAGAAGCGGAGCCTCTCGGGTGAGGGGCGGCTCCTGGCGGCAGCGGGAGCCCCGGGACGGGGTGGCCCCCACGGGGGACCGGGGTGGCCGTGGCGGCGTTGCCCGGGGCGGGCGGCTCTGGGCTGCGCCGCCGTCGGTGCGAACTTGGGCGAGCGACTTGAGAAAGTGCGCCGGGACCGGCCGGGCCCCGGGAACGCCGGGCGGCCCGCGGGGAGCGCTCCTCAGCCCCCGCCTGTGGGCTCGGTCCGTGAAGCGGCCCCGGCGGTGCGGCCGGCTGTGTCCCGGCTCTCGGCACGGGCTGTGGGGAAGGGGAGCGCGGGCGGACGGTCCCGTGCCCTGTCACGCAGTTTGTCAGCTGCTGCCGCTGCTCTGGAGCTTTGCAGGCAGCGCGGGCATCGTCCCTGGAGGTGTGCTGTGCCTGAAGGGGGGCTCCGGCTGTCACCGCTTCCAGCGGGCGCGGAGTGTGCCTGGGGCCGAGAGCTCCCCGAGCCCCGCGGGCCGGGAGGCTGCGGGTTCCCTCAACTTTCCTGCTGAAGTGCCAGAAATGTTTCATCGTTTTACCAGTTCTTGTTACGCGCTCACAGCTGCGACTCCAGTGGTCTTTGCCTCTGCTGCTGACAGGGACGATGCCGTTAAAACTTTGAAGTTGTATGCAGATTATTAAAAGTTATTTAAAGTAAATGAAATATACCAGCTGGGGGTTTATAAGGAAAAATAAGGGGAAATGTCATGGCCTTTGCTATCAGTATCCAGCTATATTTACATTTAAACTTCGACAGGTTATTTCAGGTATCTACCAAGTAATTTTTTTTAAATACCCCTGCCGTTTTTGTAAAAACTGTCAGTCACCGTGTCAGGATTAATTTAATGTTAGTAAGGTTATAAATAACTATATTACCACTGTATTCTTAATTTATTGGCTTGCTGAAAACCTGGGAAGTGCTTGAGGTGTTAAACTTTCAAGGCTTTCTCAGTCTTGGTTTGGATGTAATAACACAGGTCTTATAAAAAAAAGAAAATAAAATAATGGGAATTAGGATTTAACTTTAGTAATGTGTTGTCAATAACTGAATGCTTTCCTTTGAGTTTGATGCGTGCAGTGTCTCTTTCTTATGTGTTATATCATCAGACATGCAGCATCATTGACTGCAGTTGGGTGGTGTTGATGAACACTTCAGAATGTAAAGGTGATGTAATTTTTATAGTTATAAAATAATTAGCGTGATTGTAGTAGTATGAATTGCTTTAAGGTGAAAAAAAAAAAGGAATGATTGAGATACAAACTGATATGCCTGAAAAACAACTGAACAAATAACTTTATAAAAAGGAGATTGTTACTAGAGGGGTGGAGAATACTTAACTATGTTCATGCAATTGATTTGAAATTTTAAAATAGTGAAAAATCTTCAGTGCTCTTTGATGCTTCATGGCAAGAAAACAAAAACAGCCTTCTTGATTGAGCAACTAAAATTTCTAACTCATCTAAGGGTAGCAATATGTTAAATAATAGAAGTAGGGGTTTCTTCACTTTGATGAGGCAGGACTAGTATTGTAAAGAGAAGTTGATTAGAGGAGAAGGAAATATTTTTTTAAAATATATTTTCTTGATTGATTAATTGGCATGCTTATGAAAGAAGTATGTATTTAGGATTGACAGGAGTGAAGTGAGTGCCTGGAACTGCTGTATTTAGGATTAAATTTATTATTATAGGATAGAAGCTTACTGAAGTGCAGTGCATTTCACATTTCCACAACATTTCCTCTCCTTTCTGGTTAATGGTTATCCTTTGTGCAGCTATGCATTGAAGTGTAACTTAGCTAAATCATTATCTTCTTACCTTAAGGAATTTGTGTCTTTTGTGTTTTTTGAAGATGCTTATCCTTTTCTGTCCTGAGGTGTGCAGGTAAATGAGCATACTGTAAGCATTAAGAGTATGAATCTGTCTGAACAGATTAAACTTGGGCCACAATCTAAAACTTTCTGACTGCAAAAGAGGGGAATTTGAAGTAGGGAAGGAATTTGAAGTGGGAGGTAGAGTTTTCTTTTAAAAGAAAATGTTGCTTGATGCATTGATAGCAGAATTAAGCTGTTTTTCAGATGATTTATTACTTTGTTCTGCCTTGGTGTTTCACGCTGTTCTTTTGGTTACTGTGTTTTTCCTGCAGGGTCAGCCACTAATCTGTTTCACAGCTGGCACAGAGCTGAGGCTGGTGCTGGGTGGCAAAAAGTGCTCAGAAGGGAGGTGGCTGAGTGACTGTGCGCTCCAGTGCATCCCCTGGCACTGGAGAGGTGATTTTGCAGTCACACTCTGGAGCTTGTGTATTGATCAGCCTCAGTCATGAGGATTGATTATCCCTCAATTTCTAGGGCATGAAAGTCTAAGGTGTTGAAAACTTAAAATAATTTGGTTTCCAGCAATAGGCTCTAAAATACTTTGTGTGAGGTAAGGAGGGGTGGGAATAAATAGCTCATTAGCTAAAATCTTAGAGTATCTGAAGTTGGCAGTGAAGTTGAAGTACCCCATGGTACTTGCCCCTATGTGTATACTTACCCTACAGGAAACTTCAGTTGTTTGAGATTGCTGTATCTTTAAGTTAGAGAAGGTTGGTTATTTGAGGTGGAAGAAAATACACCTGGGCAGTTAACAGAGTAATTACATGGTGTGCTTATACATATCTGGTTTTACTTTCAAGTTTTTAAACATTGAAGAATTGGTGTAACCAAAACATTTACAAGTGATAGTGTTACAAAGGAAGACTCCAGAAAACATGTTTACAAGAGATCTGAGCAATGATTTCACAGAATTAACTTTGATTGAAACTTTATACATAAATATTAGTTTATTATTACCCATTAAGCGACATGTTTTTTGTTTTAAAATAAATGCCTTTAAGGCATTGGGTGGTTTAGGCCTGCTTAGTAGAAGTGGATCAGTAATACATAGATCATCAAAATCACTGTCCAGTGACAAGCTCATACACAGGAAAATGGGTCAGTTCTCATTGTTTAAAGACAAACATTATTTATTAACAATCAATAACTAAAAGGTAGTGAGTTTTATAGCTGTGATCAGTATCAGCAACATGATAAATCACAATACCAGACATACAGAGAATATTAATGTACCGCCACAAACTACAGGTGCCTGCAATACCCCCCCTCGAGGTAATGAGGGCTGTAAGCACACCCTCTTTTGCTTCTTTTATATTTCTGCTTAAGCAGATTCCTTAGTTGCTTCAAAACTCTTTGTAATCTTCTGGCTGCTGTGAAAGTCTTCATCTTCAATGTGATGAATATTAAGAGGGCATTGCCTCAGGCAGTTTTGGGTGAATTTTTCATGCAAAGTGTCAATACTTGCATTTTGCTCTTAACAGCTAAGTTGTTTTACTAAGAATGTATATACAGCCTCTTCCTGCCCTGAAAAATGTACAGCATTCTACCTTGCAAGGTTACTTCTCCCTCCCCTAGTCCCTAAGACTTTGGCTGAAATTTGAATTTACTATTTGTGAATGTGTGCTTGCATCAGAGTAAGTGTCTGTAGTTCTTAATCTGTCTAAATAAGTGATTTTCATCTTCTGGGTGTTTTGTGAATATTGAGAGTTATGTTTTTAAATGTCAATAGCCAAAGATATTGATCTTCATTGTAGTATTCTGTCACTTCTGAAGTGTTACAAGGATGTGGTAATGTCAGACCTCATCTGTGGGTGTTGAAGCATAAAAATTCAACATGCTTTTGCTGACAGTCTGAATTTCATAATTATAATTTCATATGTTATACATTTTGTAAGAATCTTCTGTGCAAAATCTTATTTAGAAGCCATATGAGCTGCTTAAACACATGCCAGTCAGCCTTCAGGTTATTTACATACGGTCATTAAAGCATAGGAGATCAGTAAGTGCTTGATGGTTTTTTGGTTGTGAAAGACCTGGTCACCAAAGGTTCACGGTGTTTGTACTGTTTGTGCACTGAATCGCTTGGGGTTGTGTGTCTGCAAACGTTTTGCTGTTGCAGAAAGCTATTCTTTAAAATAAAGAACAAGTTGCTAATGCTGCTGAGAGAGAAAATAGCTTTTAAGAAGTCAAAAATAGTGATTAGTAAATTTAGGAGGTCTATAATGCATTAAGGATTAGATTCACTCAGCATGTTACATTTTGTGTAGCAGCTTTGGGTAATGTTTTGTAGAAGTGGGATGTCTGATTGCCTGGGAAAAGTAGCTTGTTTGTTGGGAGGCAGCAGGGGAATGAATGGGAGAGCACTGCACTTCCACCTCCTGTAACTCCTTCCATGCAAAGTTATTTAGCCATCAGCAAAAACCTTCTGGGTTAAAGGCCATGCAAATGAAACATGTAGCAAGTAATAAGTAACAAAAGTATAGCAGCTTCTCACCCTCTGGAGGTCGTCCCTGAAGTGACTTCTGCTTATGTATGTTTCTGAATAGATCTTTCCTTGCTGAGATTCATCAGTGCTGAGCTAACAAGAGGTTATTTCCTTGAACACAATGAAGCAAAATACACAGAGCGGCGAGAGAGAGTGTACACGTGCATGCGGATACCAAAAGAACTGGAAAAGGTGAAGTATACTTTAACTTTTGATTCAATTTGGAGAGGAGATCTGTTGAATTAAATTAATTAAGAACTGTTTATTTTAAAAACACTTTTGCTACAAAAACAAGATGTAAACCTCTATAGTGATTATTTTTCAATGTTACTA